TTTCAGATTGCCTATCAGTTTGCAAGTGATAAGCAGTGCTAAACCTCAATGTAGTTCCTAAAGCCTCTTGCAATTTGTTCTAGAAGGGAGACACGAAGTGGGGGTCTCGGTCAGACACGATTGAAACTGAGGTACCATGCAATCGAATGATTTCTTTGCTGTACAAAGTGGCGAACTTAGTAAGGGGGTATGTGGTTTGGATTGGTAGAAAAGTGTCGATTTCATCAATCGATCTACTATAACCCATATTGCATTATTCTTCGAGACTGATTATGGTAATCTGACCATGAAGTCCATTGTAATGTGCTCCCATTTCCATTCAAGAATAAGGATTGGCTGCAGCGTTCTCGCAGGTCTTTGATGTTCTGCTTTAACACGTTGACAATGCAAGCATTTGGAGACATGGCTTGCTATGTCTCTTTTCATTCCTGTCCACTGGTAATGTTCTTTTAGATCATGATACATCTTCTTATTGCCAGGATGAGTCGCAAACCTCGAGCTATGAGCTTCTATCAATATCTTCTTCTTGAGTTTTGGAATATTGGGTACGTAAATTTGATTTCAGAATTTTAGCATCCCATTGCTTATCGTGAAGTCCGGATCGGACGTGCTTCTTTGGTCCTCGTACTTTTTCTTCAAAAGTTTATCTTCACATTGGCGTGCTCTAATTTCTTCAATCAAAGTGGGTTCCACAATTATGTTGGCGAGCAATTCATTGATCTTGCGGGAAATGAGAGTACACACCAAACTTCTGGTTATCTTTCGGCTTAGTGCGTCTGCCACCACATTAGCTTTGCCTGGATGGTGATGGATTTCTACATCATAATCCTTCATAAATTCTAGCCATCATTGTTGCCTCATATTTAGTTCCTTTTGTGTAAACAGATATTTAAGATTCTTGTGATGTGTATAAATTTCGCAGGTTACTTCGTAGAAATAATGATGCTAAATTTTGAGGGAAAAGATTACTGCAGCTAATTCCAGATCGTGGGTCGGGTAGTTCTTCTCGTGGGTCTTTAGTTGTCACGAGACATATGCAATGACTTTTCCATTTTTCATAAGGACGCAACCCAAACCATTGTATGAGGCATCGCTATAAATTACGAACCCATTCGTTTCCGTAGGGAGTGCTAGTATAGGAGTTATCACAAGTCCGTTTTCCAACTCTTAGAAGCAACGTTCCTGCTTGTCAGTTCATTCAAAGGGTGTGTTCTTCTGAGTTAGCTAGGTCAAGGGTGATACTATCTTCGATAAATCTTGCATGAAGTGTCGGTAATAGCCGGCTAGACCCAAGAAACTTTGAATTTCTAACACATAAGTAGGTCGTGGCCAATCCAAGATTGCTGTAACTTTTTGGGGGTCGATCGAGATGCCATCCTTGTTAATGATGTGATTAAGGAAGTGTACACTAGTGATCCATAATTCGATTTTTTCAATTTGGCATAAAGTTTGTGATCACGCAGTGTCTGTAGAACTCTTCGTAAGTGGTGTTCATAATCTTTTGGTGATTTGAAGTATATGAGAATGTCGTCAATGAAGACAATAAAGAAGTCATCAATATAGGATTTGAACACTCGATTCATAAGGTCCGTGAAAGCTGCTGAAGCATTTGTGATGCCAAATGGCAAGACGATGAACTCGTAGTGCCCGTAATGTGTTCTGAAGGCAGCCTTTTTGATGCTTTCCATTTTGACTTTTAGTTGATGATAGCTGGAATGCGAGTCGATTTGCGAGAATACTTGGGTGCCTTGAAGTTGATCGAACAAGTTATCAATTCGTGGTAGAAGGTATCGATTCTTGATGGTGACTTTGTTCAACTCCTGGTAATTGATGCATAACCTTATTGTGCCATCTTTTTTTCTTTATGAACAGTACTGGAGTTCCCCATGGTGAGGCACTTGGTCGGATGAAGCTTTTGTCCAAGAGTTCTTGAAGTCGGGTTTTTAGTTTTTTTAATTCTGTCATTAACATGCGATAAGGAGCTTTAGATATTGGTTGTGTACCAGGTTGAGTTTCAATGATGAATTCGATTACATAGTCAACTGGGGTACCAGGTAGGTCTTTACGAAAGACATCTAGAAATTCTATAACCACATGGATTTCGTTAAGTGTGGGGGCCTCTTGTTGCATATCAATCGCATAACAGATATAACTACAACAACTCTTTCTTAGAAGTTGTTAGACTGTCATGGTAGATATAACACATGGAGGGATGGAAACTCCAGTTTCATCAAAGACAAGCTCGAGTTGGTTTGGTAACCGGAGGGAGATCTTTTTGGCTTCACAATCAATAGAGACATGGTTGGCAGCCAATCAATCCATTCCTAAGATCACATCAAAGGTACTAATACAGAAGGGAATCAAGTCTACATGTAAGGTTTCACCTTTTAAGGATACAATACAAGATTTGTACATGTTTATACCAAGGGTAGAATTACCAAAAAGGAAAGACACAGATAGTATATATCTTAAGGGTTCGGGTGTTGTTGTTAACTTGGAAGTAAAGTGTGGTGCAACAAAAGAATGAGTGGAACCAGTGTCAAAGAGAACATGAGCTAAGTGACCACAAATAGAAAGTATACCAGACACAATGCTCTCGGTAACTTTCGGGTTTCCAGGCACCAAAGCAACAACTCTTCCTTGGTGTTTTTGGTTTTTTCTCACTCCCCAGGTACCGCAGGTTTTCTGACTGGTTCAGAGAGGCAAGCTGTAGGGTTGGTAAGCTTTGGACAATCTCTTAGCAAGTGGCCAACTTAACCGCATTTAAAGCATGCTTCCATGTCTCGATGGCATCGTCCTCAATGAATTCTCCCATAAGTAGGGCAATTTGGAATGGTGTCACCTCTAGGGTTAGTAGGACCTTGATTGTTTGAACTAGTTGAGCCCATATTTACTTCTTTGGGGGCACAACACTAGATCTTCTGTTGTCTCTTTTCCAAAATCGCTTTTTTTGGCTTGTTTCTCTAGAACAGAAGGCTTTAACTCATTTTTTTGCAATGTATGCTCGATCCACCACCTCTGCATAGGTTGATAGATTCAAAACCTCAAGCCTAGCCGTGATTTTAGCATCCAAAGACGATGCTGGAAGTTCTTTTAAGGAGGGGAGGAATGTGACATCCGAATTTTTAATTTAATTCAATATTGTGTCAATATCAAGCAATTATGAGTAGAGAAATATATATATATATATATATAAGTAATAGTTAATAAATAAATAGAATTCCTTATTATATCAAAAAAAAGTGCATAGTTTAGAAATATGAGAATTAATAGATTAAGGCCTCGTTTGGGAATAGACTAATTTAGTAACTTTTTGGCTATTTGGCTAAAATATGAGCTAAAAAAAACTAGTATGTTTGGGATGACTTTTTGGCTTTTTACGAAAAGATGTGCAAAAAGTAGAGAAAAAATAGAATCTTTGACTTTTTGGTATGGATTGTTAGCTTTTTGACTAATTTAGTAACTTTTTGGCTTTTTGGCTAAAAAGGAGGGTTCCCAAACGAGGCCTAAATTGTTAAGGGAATAGATTATGAGACACTGAACTTTTAGAATATTAAATATTTTAATAAACAGTAAGTGATGTTTTATAGTTAGGTGGTGAGATTTTATACATGAATCTAACTTATAATTATATGTAATTTTAGAAATCATTATAAATTATCAAAAAGAATAATAACCCTTAAAATTGTAAAAGGTTAAATTCAATTCTTTTGAGCCAAAGGACCTAGGTGACTCTTGGTAAAGTATAAGGGTCAAAAACAAGGGGTAAATCAGGGGCAAGGGTGAAATGCTTCCACGTGTGTGGCTCATTGCTTGGGCCTCACGTTGGAGATGTATATATAGTAAGGCCAAGTTTGGCATCCTCCAAAAAATCTAAAAATTTAAAAAGTCACTATCCTATTTAAGTCACATCATCTTATTTAAGTCACATCACCTCTCTAACACATCACTTCAAACCCAACCCAAATCCAACCCATATTTCATAAAAAGACAAAAAGTACACTTATTTAGTTTTCCCAAACTTGGCCTAAAAGTTGGTGCTCAACAAGAAAACAGAAAAAAGAAAAAAATAAAACAAAACATAAGGAGTAAGTAAAAAGGAAGCCTCAGAAATACGAAGTAAATCAAGGTTAATTTAAGAATAATTTTAAGGTAAGTTATATTATATTTTGAGTCACTATAACATATTTTATATATATTTTGAGTTACTATAATATATTTTACGAATGTTTTGAGTTATCACAATTTATTTTATGTAATTTATATTTTATAGTTATGTCAATGTTTTAATTAAGTAAACTATTTTCTAAACTCTATTTGCTTAAATTGAAACTCATAAATATGTTTATTTAAATTTTAGAAATTATTTGACAATAATTTTGTAAATAATTATTTTTTGTAAGTACCACTATGGGAGTCCCATACCTTGGAGACTTAAATAAACCATTGGTTTCTGATCCCGTTAAATCATCGTACTTTTGTAATAAAATAAAGGCCACCAAATATTATTGAATCACTGCAGGAAAAATTACCTTTACCGGCGTTTAAAAAATGCCGCTATAGGAGCCAAAAACGCTGCCAAAATAATATACCGGCGTTTTTACTTTACGTCGCTGACGCGGCCGTCGCTATAGGTATAAGGCGCTTTAAAAACGTCGCTAATACTTGAAGTGGCGTTTTCATCAGCGTCGGCATATTATGCAATCTGTTTAAATAATAACTGATGACATCACGGGATATAGTGACGTTTTTGAACAAAAACGCCATCTTTTTTCTTTATTTCATAATTTCATTAATATAAAATATGTTGTTGAGCTGGCTGGTTATTTATTCACATTCCAATTTGCATAAAACCATAAAGCATAACATAGCAAAAAATAAAAATAAAAGTTGAAGTTGATAAAATAAAACCATCAAATTTGATATTTGATAGAAAAATAAATAAATACATGTTCATAGAAGCATATTTAAGTTCTGAACTTCACCCCAATCTTAAAATAAAAAAATAAAAAAGTTCTAAAATTCACCCATCAACACACTTGGATATTTTAATGCTCTTACCAAAAATAAAAATAAAAATAAAAATTCTAACAAGATTTCAATTTTGGGCCTGGTAAAAAAAAAAAAAAAAAAAAAAAAAAACAAGCAGCAAATTCCTTTTTACATCTTGAATCAGACCTTTCCCTCAGCAAAATTGTCCTTTTGAACTGCAGATAAATAAATAACAGTTACAAATTATAATCCTTTTGAAAATAATCTAGAACAAAGCAATAAATAATATCAAAAGCATGAAGAGATAAAAGCATATACATAAATCACCATTATAATAACATGTATTCCCTGTTTGTTCCAGATTTAATATAATCAAATTATGAAAAGCATATTATGTTAGTTCAACAATTCAAAAAAAAAAAAAAAAGAACACTTTAGATTTTAAGGTGTATATTCCAGAACTATTGGACCATAGAGGTTCGTTCACACTAGTAGAGATCAGAGAAACAAGGAGGAACAAGATCTCTGATTTGAATGTGTGTTTCTCACGCTTGTAGTCTAATTTTTTCAGTGAAATTAATTAATAAGCCTAGAAATCGTAATTCAAGTGTAAAACTTGGTGAGTTCTAAAAAAATTCATTACCTGAACTAACTGATGTCAAAAATCCATATCGAACAAGACTGACTTCTTTTGTCTTGAGATTGGTCTCGCAGGCTCACAGGATATCAAACATTTACAGTTCTCTCATCAATAGCAACTCCATCGGATATCAAACATTCTAGACCACATCAGAGTAAATGCATGATTGGCAAACTTCTGCAGTTCTCCCTCAAATTTTGTTCCCTCTAATGTACTCAAATCCTTGCAAAGATCTACAATGCTAATATGGCCTAGTTTTCCTGCTTCATATAATGTTACAACATGAGATTTCAAGCCTGCAAAAGGCATTAAAGAACAAAAAAATGAAGTCAGAAATCAGAAATGAAAGTAATGACAATCATAAAGTTGGAAGACTTTCTGTGACTGGTTAAAAATAAATAAAACCCCCTAAACCAAGATTCAACTTTCCACTGAAATTTATGTAAATTTCATGCCCAGAATAAAATGGAGACGATGTTCAAATCTACTAAAAAAACAAAAGCAACTGATATATTTATTGAAAGTACAATAAAGAAATTGATGTAGCATAAGAAGGAAACAGTTGCATATTATCATCAATCAACTTTATCATTTTCATCAGCATACTTTTTCAAATGCAACTATAAATACAGTGCTCAACAATCAAATCCCGTCAAAATCAATTTAATAAACAAAATATCATCCCCAATAATCAACGATGTTGGGATGGGAGACTGAGTAGACCTAACCTTTGATAATCTAATCTATACAAGAGGACTGCCTTCAGACTTGAACCCATGTTCCTCACACTTGGCAGCCGAAGCCTTTACCACTTCCGTATGCAATGGTCTCATTTACAAAAAAATAAAAAGAACCTAAATTTTGTTGTATTGAATCACCTTGGAGTGCAAGATATAACATAAACCCTGTCATACAAGGGCATACAATTTCTCACTCTTGAGCAAATCTTATTAAAACAGATCCATGGCCAAAACCAATATTATATGTAATGTTATGTCAATTTTCTGTGTGTTTATTTTTTCATCAGAGTAGAAACTTCAACCATCTCTTTTTGTATGCAATCTTAAAAATCCACTTCAAGAATTACCTCTCGCAACACAAGTCATGTAACAAATCAACATGCAATCTTAGAAATTCATGTTAAGAACAGTAGGATTATAATGGATCCCACAACATGCTGGCATTAACTGAAACAGAACTTTAAATGCACTGCAGAGCATTCTTAATCATTCCTTGTGGATGCAACCCACAAAATACAAATCCAGTTGGAACAATAAATCAATTTGGCCAGCTGAAGTCATGAACATATGAATAGGTAGTCCAGGACCAACCCAGTAACAAAATTTGACAGAAAGATGACCAAACCTGACATGAGCAGGAGCCAGCACTAATATAACTGCTCTCTATCATTATATGATTAGCTGAAAGGAAGCAGTTCAAACGTAATATTCAGATGGGCAATCTACAACATTAATAAGTGATGGCAACTTATTCATCACAAGTAGAATTTCCCAATGTCAAGACTAAAATGTAGAGTGTCTAACAAAGAATACAAGGCAAGTGAAGTTAAGGTAATAAATAATTACAATAAATATGACAATGTTTAACAATTATGACCCTTCAATTACCTCTTGAATAGAAGCTTCCACCTGCAAATTTCACTACACATCAATTAAGATAACAACTCTCTTCACTAGTTAATAACAGTAACATATACAAACATAGCTTGAAAATTTATGTAACATTCTTTGTAATCATTGCCCACTGGTTACAAGTCCTGCGCCAAATATAACAGCCAAGCTGCAAAGAGGAACATGCATGAACAACAGATAAAACTGTAAGTATAAAATCCCCAAATGACCAAATTCAAACTCAGAAACAATCGGCAGACTATGAACCTAGTAAAACTACGAGACAATAGCTAGTCCTGAACAGCTTCGTTAGCCTGTTGTCCAGCTGAATATTGGAAGCCTCCAAACCAATCTCCAACACTTCCATCTACTAAAGTATAAACAGAAGCAGCTCCTTCTTGACTTGAAGAAAAATAACCATATTTCCTCCGATTATATGGGAGGGAAAAAAAAGAAGCAAAACTTGCATATAGGACTCGAAAAAACTATGTCTAAGCATGATTGACAAATCAAAAAACAAAAAAGACATTAACTGAATTTAAACAAGATGGCTAAAGCTAACAACAAGTTCTCACCATAATATTCTGCATACTTACAGCCTTTGTTGCGTTAGGCACAACCAAATTTGATGTTTTCATGCTGCTGAAAACATCAAAAATAGAAACAAGTATCGAAAGTTATATGCTTGCACCCAAACATCAAAGCAATGGGTATAATTTTATATGAAGGAAAAGAAGAGGACAAATATATTTGAAAAATTCCAAATAAATAAAGAACCCAAATGATCAAAAGCTAACCAACACAGACTTTTTTGTTGACTCCAACAAGAAGCTAAGAAAAATTCAGCATGTTGATTAATTATATAGAGTTTAGGTATCAGCCTCTGATTCACACATAATTACATTAAACATTTTAAAAACAACATTAGCAAAACCAAACATATACGAGTTTCAACAAAAACGATTCGAATTGTGCTGCTGAATCGAAAATTGAGTGAATTGTACAATTCAATTTATGATTCACTACGATTCATTGAGATTCACAAAATTCACTGCAATTCAATTCTTTTTCTATTTTTTTTTATATAACGCATGAAACATCGACGTTTTCACCAAACTAACGTAATTACTTAAATTGATATATCTGATTTTATGTGTATATACGTTTATAATTTAGTCATATTAATAATTTAGTTTTTATTAAACACTGTATACATTTCGATTTTAAACACTTTATTATATATTATATTAAATAATATAAATCTTATGATTTACAGTTTGAAATGATTTATGATTCACTTTTTAACGATTCGATTCACGATTCGACAACAATATAGTTACCACAAATTTACATTACAATTTAGGCAAATGGTTAACAAATAAATAAATAAAACAAGAGAAATGTGACATTATAAGATTACTGAGCACCAAAAGTAGGAGAAGGAAGGGCAATTACCTGCGACGTCATTTACAATTTTGGTGCAGGGCTTGTAACAGGGCTTATACTTCATTGCATTGTCAGTTCTACCAGGGAAGAGCCTAGCAATCATTGCCCATTTGTTTCCATATAGTCTATGAGCAGCATTAGCCTCAATAGACTAACCCTAGAATTGCATACGAAGCACAAACACAAAGATTACCATGAACGAGTTAGAAGTAGAGTCTGTTTGAGGATGTTAATATGCGCACAGGGACTAAAGCTTACAAATCTAAACGAAAGCAATCAATCGATCAAATCAGAGAAAGAGCGTTCGATCGCGATCAATAGACTAAAAATCAATCAACCGATCGATCTGTGTTCTCTTCAACATAAATTAGTATATATATCAAACAGATCTGAGATCGTAGATACAGATCTGAGTTCGTATATAAACAAAATCAAAAAATCAGAGAATGAGACTCACAAAATTAATCTTCAAATCGAAGTGATTGAGAGCTTTGAGCCAAGACGAAGAGAGTCGGATAGAGATTACGATCGTAAATCGGAGCATACGATGCTCGATCTAGTGAACTTTCACCATAAGAAAGAGGAGTGATGAAGCCCTAGATCTAACTGGGACTGAGAGAAATGGAAAAATGAAAAACGCGTGGGCCTTAAAAGGGAAATTATGCAAGTATACCAGGTTACACGCGTGTTTTTTAAAATGAGTTGGTTAAAAAATATTTTGAAAACCTTTGCAACAACGTTTTAGAAAAAACGCCATATCAAAAACGTTGTTATAGGCCCATTTTCTTGTAGTGTCATAAATATGTTTATTTAAATTTTAGAAATTATTTGACAATAATTTTGTAAATAATTATTTTTTGTAAGTACCACTATGGGAGTCCCATACCTTGGAGACTTAAATAAACCATTGGTTTCTGATCCCGTTAAATCATCGTACTTTTGTAATAAAATAAAGGCCAAATGACTATTTTCCTTTTTTAATAAACTTTTTGGTATCCATTTATTTTATTTTAATTTATTTGCTTGCGCTACAAATACAAAAAATTTAGAATATTTTATTTGTATGATCTTATTGCGACGCCGAACCTTTGGGTATCGGGTTGGATCGTGACAAAAAACACGTACCTAAATTTTTTCTTCTTAATCTTTGAAATACTCAAATGTACCTAATATATACCCAAGCTATACTGTACCTCAGTCAAGATAATGTTTTTTTTCAACTAAAGAGATAAAATTCATTTTATTAGATTTCTTTTTTATTTTTAATTTTATACTTAGTATGATTTTAAAATTAAGTTATGATTTATAAGTTATTTAATATAGGGAGATTTATTTATAAGTCATTTTTCAGACACTTATGGTAGGCTAAGTCCTGTGCAATTTTTTATAGAGTCTCAAGTCCTATTTAGATAGGAATGTATTCCACACGATCCTACATAAACGTAACGTGACGTGACACTTATATAAACGTAACGTTACGTGACACCTACATAAACGTAACGTAACGTGACACCTATATAAACGTAATGTAACGTGACATCTACATAAACGTAATGTAACGTGACACCTATATAAATGTAACGTAACCTTGTCACGTTACGTTTCGCAAACTTAATGAATTTTTATTTTTTTAAATTGAATGTGAAAATGTTGCTGGTTTATGTTGGTGCCACGTTACGTTTCATATAAATATGATCTATGGTAACATTCAATTTCCTGAATGTTATCATAGATCATAGGTGTCATGTTACGTTTATGTAGGTGTTACGTTACGTTACGTTTATGTAGATATGATCTATAGCAACATTCAATTTTTCAGTTACGTTACATTTATGTAGATATGATTTATGGTAACATGCAATTTCCTATTATATATTACCATAGATCATAGGTGTTACGTTACGTTTATATAGGTGTCACGTTACGTTTATGTAGGTGTCACGTTACGTTACGTTTATATAGATATGATCTATGGTGAAATTCAATTTCCTATATATGATTTTACTATTATTTATGATATTAACAGCTAATATTGAGAGTAAATGTGTCAACAAACTTCCTACAGGACTTATGGGAACATAAATTTTTTAGTAGGACCATATGTAGCATAAGTCTCCCTAATAGGACTTATAAATAATTTTTCCTTCAATTATAATAATATTTAATTTTCGTTTATACCTTTACTTTTTACATTAAATGTTAATTGTAGGTTGGATCTTAACAAATTAAACAATTTAATCAATTCTTGTATTATTCTAAATTAAAAATAAATATTCAGATTAAATTTAATATATATTTAAAATTTATTAAAATTTTAAATAAAATTTAAATTAAGTTGAACACGACTTATTTACCGATCAGAAAAGAGATTAACATCCACATTGCTACACCACATAATGTGAATATGAATGCAATGTTCGTTTTCTCATTTGAATTGACTAATTCTATAATTCCACATTAATCATTTTCTAGGAGATGTTGAAAGGAATTTCCGATGGTGCAAAGACAAAATAAGCTTCAATCTTCATCTTTCAGTGTTTTCAAGGGTTTTTAAAAAAATATATATAATGAATTATATATATTTTTTGTGCTTGTAATTTGACATTAATATACATGATATAAGTGTTGTTTAACTCATTGGGAGAAAAATCCTACCACGGTGATGCGTGCACTACTTTTCTTGTTTGACAGAATAAAATAGCAAACAATTTCAACTTGGAGAATCATGCATATAAATACTTTGACTCAGACAATTTTTACATTTCACAATCCATTGTTATCTTCATTAATTTATTTTTTTAAAAATATTTTTTATATTTGATTGTAACTTCAAAATTAAAATATTAGTGGTTATTAATAGCGGTGGTAGAGTGTTGTTTTGTAATTAAAAAATAAAAATTAATTTTTGTCCAAGTAAACTTGTTTTTTATTAATAACAGAAAAATATTTTTTTGTTGTACAAAATGCCAAAGAAAAAAATATATTTAAAAAAAATACCTTATGCCAATAACATAGCATAAGTCTCTCACATTCTATTTTTTATTTTTTTATAATTTCTTATAAGAGGAGTGTAAATATTATTAATTAAGGAAAATTATGTAAATTTTTTATCATGTGGGGCACAAAATGCAATGAGAATACATTTTAAACCTTATCAATATATCAATTTTCTTTAAATTACTGAGGTGTATTTTGAGAAGTGGTGAATTTTTAACTCACTTCCTTTCTTACCAAAAAAAATTAAAAAGTCAAACAAAATTAAAAAATCAACTTTTAATTATTTTTTCAAAACATCCTTAAGTCAATAAATTATGAGCCCTGACAATAATATAAGAAATTTACAGGATTAACATTGAATTATTGGGATTTTAAGGCGATGCCCTTTAGATATTCACACAAAATAAATAAATAGCTTCCATATATAATTATCAATATTATATACTAAAATTTAATTGAATAACAAAATTCAATTTACAATAAGGAAAAAAATATCAAAAAAAAAAAAAAAAACTAAAACCAAATAAAATTTGAACAAATTATAGTAAACTAACATAAGTATAATCAACCAAATTCCAATCTACAATTCAACAAAAAAAAAATTCAACCCACGTGAATTAGTGAATAATTGTTAACAATTTGATCCAATAAAAAACAAAATCAAGATAAATTGACACAAGTATTGAGTTGTATAACATAAATTAAATCATACCCAACAAAAATTAAACATAAATTGGCAAAAATTAAACATTAAGGGAGAAGAGTGAGGACATACCCATCGATCAATCTTCTATGTTCTAAATAGGTTTGATTATTTAATACGAAACCATTGAATATTTGATTTGATGGGCTTTTACTTTATATTGAACCCTTTTTTATTTGTAATAGTGTTAGGGATATTAACAAGCATATCAATAAACATACTAACTAGATATAATATTAATAAAACCCCACATCAGTTAATAACTAAGCAAATTCTTTAGACATATTATAAGAGTCAATTTTTTGTGTCTCTAAATTTCAACACAAAATTAGGAGCTTAGGCGGCGGGCTTTGCCAGCCTGTTCAAAGAATTTTTTTTGAATTCTTTTATTAAAAGAAGCTTCTGATTCAGGGTTTTGCCATGACCATTCTAGTCAAGCTTTCCAAGATTGAGCCAATTTTTAAATTGTTTATCAACAAATTTATCAGTTTGGTAATACTGTTACATCATCCACAGGTTAGGCCATACCAGTTTTACTGTTTTAGTTAATTCTACCTAGTTTTGACAATTGAGTGATCTTTATTCATGGGCATAGCCAATAATATTAGATTTTTTTTTTTTTTCAGGAATTATATATAGTAAGGGTGACCATTGATTCAATAGTTAAGACTTGGCCTAATAACCTTGAGGTTATGGGTTCAAGTCTTGGGACCACCACTTTGTGTATTATGCCAAAGGTTAGGTGTGGACTCAATCTTTACCCTCCCAAACACACATTAATGTGTACTAAGTGGGCGTTGTTTGTTTGTTTGAATTATATATAGTAAGTTATGCAGATAAACTTCCCTCCAATTGAAGTGGATATTCATTTAGGCCTCTTTTAGGAAGGCAAAAAAAAAAGCCACTTTATTAATAGATTGACTTATTTAGGTCATATCATTTCTTTACTTTTTTTTTTTTTTTTCATTTTTTCGTAATAAGTTAATAAGTTAAAAAAAAAAGTAACTTCTCAAAATAGACATTAGTATAAATTCTAGGAGAAAAATTGTGAGGTCATAGTGAGGCCCATAACTTTTGGTTACACAACTTCTTTCACAACATGTCGTCCAATTGAGGAGAAACCAACTATTATAAGATAAATGAGAAGGGCAATTGTAAGATTAAATTTGGCACAATTGAAGTTGTGGATGACTCTTTGTAAGGGTCTGAATGACAAAGTTTTAAGATTGTGTTATTTTGCTAAGATAAAAAATAAACAACTCAAACTTAACGTGATCAAATAAAAGAAGTGAAATCTTATGTATTATTTAATAAAATTTGTAGAGAGCTAAGTCTTAAAAAATTTCAATTAAACTCCCTCTAAATAAGAAAATAAAGTAAAATTATTGTGCCGTGTGCACAAAACTTGCTCCAATAGGCACAACAAACACTAAATCAAATTTGCTATCATATTTAAAACATAACAAAATCATCGTATTGAGTCTCACGTAGCAATGAGTTATTTTGATTCACATAATAGTATTGGTTGAACTCGTAATTTAATTCACAAATTTCACACCTATTGAAAGATAAAAAAAATGTATTGCATAATAAAAAGTGAGAGGGAAGTGGTGCAATACTCCCAAAAAAAAAAATAAAAAATAAAATAGAGAAGAAAAAATTAAAAATCAATTTATTTGATCAAACAATAATAAAAATATATATAAGGAAAATGATATGGTGTGCAGTTCTTTAGAGGTGCAGGTGTATACCATATGCATGCTGCTCTAAAATGTGTAATCTTGGCACAAATTGATAAAATAAAATGTTTAAAATTTTATGATTAATGTTACAAAAATTTGTGACTTGGTTACTACATTTTTTGTTCTATCAATTTATGGCGAGGTAACATATTTTGTGGCTAATGTTAAAAATTTTTATAATAAAATTATACATTTTGTGGTAGA